GACATACCCAAGATTGGGAAGAAAAAGCAGTTTAATTGGACTTACAGTTCCACATGGCTGGGGAGGCCTCGGAATCATGGTGGGAGGTGAAAGGCACTTCTTACATGGTGGAAAAAGAGGAAATGAGAAGCAAAAGCGGAAACTCCTAATACACCCATCAGATCTCGTGAGACTTATTCGCTATCATGAGAATAGCACATGAAAGATTGGCCCCCATGATTCAGTGACCTCCCTCTGGGTCCCTCCCACAACATGTGAGAATTCTGGGAGATAGAATTCAAGTTGAGATTTGAGTGGGGACACAGCCAAACCGTATCATTCCACCCCCGGCCCCTCCAAGTCTCATGTCCTCACATTTCAAAACCAACCATACCTTCCCAATAGTCCCCCAAAGTCTTAACTCATTTCAGCATTAACCCAAAAATCCATAGTCCAAAGTCTCATCTGAGACAAGGCAAGTCCCTTCTGCCTATGAGCCTGTAAAATCAAAAACAAGTGGCCAGACATGGTGGCTCACGCCTGTAATGCCAGCACTTTGGGAGACCGAGGCAAGTGGACCACCTGAGGTCAGGAGTTTGAGACCAGCCTGGCCAACATGGCAAAACCCTGTCTCTACTAAAAATACAAAAATTAGCCGCGCATGGTGGTGAGCACCTGTATCCCAGCTACTCAGGAGGCTGAGGCAGGAGAATTGCTTGAACCAGGAAGGCAGAGGTTGCAGTGAGCTGAGATCGCACCATGGCACTCCAGCCTGGGGGACAAGAGCGAGACTTTGTCTCAAAAAAAAAAAAAAAAAAAATCAAAAGCAAGCTAGTTACTTCTAGATACAATGGGGGTATAGATATTGGGTAAATACAGCCATTCCAAATGGGAGAAATTGGCCAGAACAAAGGGCTTACAGGCCCCATGCAAGTTCGAAATCCAGTGGGGCTTCTTTGGAGCTCAAATTTTAAAGCTCCAAAATGATCTCCTGTGACTCCAGTTCTCACATCCAGGTCATGCTGATGTAAGAGGCGGGTTCCTGTGGTCTTGGGCAGCTCTGCCCCTGTGGCTTTGCAGGGTATAGCCTCCCTCATAGCTGCTTTCACAGGCTCTGCAGCTTGAGGGTCTGCAGCTTTTCCAGGCGCATGGTGCAAGCTATCAGTAGATCTACCATTCTGGGCTCTGAAGATGGTGGCCCTCTTCTCACAGCTCCACTGGGCAGTGCCACAGTAGGGACTCTGCGTGGTGGCTCCGACTCCATATTTCCCTTCCACACTGCCCTAGCAGGGGTTCTCTATGAGGGCCTTGCCCTTGCAGCAAACTTTTCCTTGGGCATCTCCATATATCTTCTGAAATCCAGGCAGAGGTTCCCCAAATCTTAAGTCTTGACTTCTGCGTGCCCACAGGCTCAACATCACGTGGAAGCTGCCAAGGCTTGGGGCTTGCACCCTCCGAAGCCACAACCCAAGCTCTGCATTGGCCCCTTTCGGTCATGGCTGGAGTGGTTGGGACACAGGGCACCAAGTCCCTAGGCTGCGCACAGCACGGGCACCCTGGGCCTGGCCCACGAAAGTACTTTTTCCTCTTAAACCTCAGGGCCTGTGATGGGAGGGGCTGCTGCAAAGGTGACTGCCGTGCCCTGGAGACATTTTCCACATTTTCTTGGTGATTAACTTTCAGCTCTTTGTTACTTACACAAATTTCTGCAGCCAGCTTGAATTCTCAGGAAATGAGATTTCCTTTTCTGTCGCATAGTCAGGCTGCAAATTTTCCAAATTTTTATGCTGTTTCCGTTTTAAAACGAATGCCATTAATAGCACCCAAGTCACATTTTGAATGCTTTGCTGCTTAGAAATTTCTTCCACCAGATACCCTAGTCATCTCTCAAGTTCAAAGTTCCACAAATCTCTAGGGCAGGGGCAAAATGCCGCCAGTCTCTTTGCTAAAATGTAACAGTCACCTTTACTCCAGTTCCCAACAAGTTCCTCATCTCCATCTGAGACCACCTCAGCCCGGACCTTATTGTTCATATCACTATCGGCTTTTCTGTCAAAGCCATTCACCAAGTCTCTGGGAGGTTCCAGACTTTCCCACAGTTTCCTGTCTTCTGAGCCCTCCAAACTGTTTCGACCTCTGCCTGTTACCCAGTTCCAAAGTCACTTCCACATTTTTGGGTATCTTTTCAGCAACGTGCCACTCGACTGGTACCAATTTACTGTATTAGTTCATATTCATGCTGCTGATAAAGACATACCTGAGACTGGGAAGAAAAAGAGGTTTAATTGGACTTACAGTTCCACATGGCTGAGGAGGCCTCAGAATCATGGCGGGAGGCGAAAGGCACTTCTTACATGGTGGCAGCAAAAGAAAATGAGCAAAAAGCAAAAGCAGAAACTCCTGATAAACCCATCAGATCTCGTGAGACTTACTCACTATCACGAGAATAGCACGGGAAAGACTGGCCCCGCGTGATTCAATTACCTCCCTCTGGGTCCCTCCCACAACACGTGGGAATTCTGGGAGATACGATTCGAGTTGAGATTTGGGTAGGGACACAGCCAAACCATATCAAAGAGCAAAACCACTGTAACGGCTTCAGGCAGGGGCCAGTGCCTGCCAGGCATGCTCCCCTTGTCCTAATGGTGTGATTTCCTGTAAGAAAGGTGATCAATTCTCCCCATGAAGCTACAGAGTGTAGACGACGGGGACCTATAGCAGAGCTGATTCTCCCAAGGGAGGCCTCTGGTTTATTAGGTGCTGAGGGCCCGAGTACAACAGCAGACTCTGGGGACCACTTGGCAGCTCTGCCCAGAGGAGTGGAGTTGAGCCTTCACCACCTCCTCCTGCTCCAAAGCAGGCACATCTGATATGCAGGATGAGCTGACTTCTCTCGGGCCTCAGGGACCCCTGAACTCAGCAGAGCTGGAGCGGTGGGGCCTGCTCCCCTGCCCAGACCTTGTCAGGAGGTGAAGTCCCTGGCTGCTGCCCCTGTGACCTGGGATCTGCAGCCATCCAGTCAGGCCCTGATTGCTGAGGACCAAGCCACTAGTTCTAGGTTTTCTGGCCACCCTGGACCCAGGGTGGTAATGTCTGGGATCTGCACTCTAGATACGGAGCTCCTGGGCATCCTGAGTCCCTGCCCACGCGCTCCTCACCTTTCAGCAGCCGACCCCATGGCAACACGGGCCTAGCCACCCGGAAGCCATCCACCCTGAGGGTCAGTGGCCACCTGTCCTCCAGCCACATCTCTGCCCTCCAGTTCCCTGGCCTCTGCCTGTGCCTGCTGTGGTTTCATTGGTATCTTGACCCTTCTCTGGACACACTTTCTTTAGTTGCGTCCCCGCCATGAGCCAGTTCTCATGCCCCTTGGCCTTTTACAGTTTCCATCCTGCAAAACCTCAACTTGGGGTTCTCCCCCAAGTGCCCCCCACCGTCCTTCACCAGATGTCATCATCACCATCCTCCCCTCGGAGACGGGGGCAGTGCTGCCCTCTTGACTGGCTCCCTGCTGGGCCTCCTGCCCCTGGCTTTGCCTCCGCAGCACCACGTCCTGTCCCTGGTTTTCTCTCGCTACTGATCATCCAACCCATGGCTTCCAGGGCAGACGGTTCAGCCCACTCTCCTGAGCGCTGCCTGCAGGTGCCCGCACAGAGGCCCTGCGGCGCCTCAGAACCAAACCCTGTCTTTGCCCTCACATCTGCCACTCCTCCTCTGTTCCCCATTCCAGAGACCGGTGCCACTCAAGCCATGGACCTCTTCTGACAAGAGCCACACAGTAAATACTTTTGGCTCTGTGGGCCACGCGGTCTCTGTCAATTCTACCCCACTCTGCCACTGGAGTGTTAAAGCAGCCAGAGATAATATATCAACCAATGAGCATGGCTGGGTGCCAGGAAAACTTGATGGAAACAGAGAGGATGGCTTGAGCGCAGGAGTCCAAGACCAGCTTAGGCAACGTGGCAAGACCCTGTCTCTACAAAAAATGTAAAAATTAGCTGGGTGTGGTGATACATGCCTGTACTCCAAGCTACTTGCGAGGTTGAGGTGGGAGGATCACTTGAGCCCAGGACGTTGAGGCTGCAGTGAGCCATGTTTGTACCACTGCACGCCAGCCTGAGCAACAGAGCAAGACTCTGTATAAAAAAAAAAAGAAAGACAGCAGCAGTCAGCTTGAGCCCACAGGCCACAGTTTGCTGACCCTGATCTAAACCCTGCCCAGCTCTCAAGCCATATTTGTTTTTACCTCCATGGAAATCCCTGAAGGACCCTGGTGTGCTTTGCGTGTGTCTGTGACTTTGTGTGTGTCTGTGACTTTGTATACATGGCTGCCTCCGACAGGAGTGCCCTCAGCGTCGTGTCTTGGGCTCGGCCAAGGCTCCTTCAGGAAGACTTCCTTGATGCCTCCTCCCCAGCCGACCTCGGCCCCTGCTTCTCTCTTGCGCAGTCCTCTGCTCTCTTTCTGGACACAGAACTTGCCATGCTGCACTGGGCATGCTTACCTGTGTCCCGGTGAGACCCTCTGCTCTCTGAGGTGGACGATCTTGCTGGTTTTGTGTTGCTGGCACCTTGTGTGGTGCCTGGTCTGCTGTCAGTCTTTGATCGGGTCAAAGCAGAATTTTGTGAGCGATGGCTCTGTGCAGCCACGGCGGGTGGCTGAGGTGACCCCACAGGGCTCCTACCGGGAGCGCTCACGGTACAGCAGCCCACGCAGGACTGTTGCGCTTCTTGTGGCACGAGGATGCTGAGCACAGAGCCACATTTAGGATGGTTCACTGCGTTTCTGGCTCCCCTCAGTTGCTCTGAAGGGGCCATTGCCACCCTCAGCCTTGTCAGGGCCAGAAGCTGCCTGTCCCAGACCCCTAGCTGTTCCTGAGGCAGGTCTGTGAGGTCTCTCTGGAGGGCAGCGTGGTTCCCGGCTCATGTTTCTTGCCAGGATCGGGGCGTTTCTTCCAAGAAATATCTTAACTTGCCCCTAGCAGGCCCTACCGTTGCCTCTGACCCTCTCCTGTCCCTCACAGGAGAACCTCATGCTTTCCATCCTGCCCAAGCATGTGGCTGACGAGATGCTGAAAGACATGAAGAAAGACGAGAGCCAGAAGGACCAGCAGCAGTTCAACACCATGTACATGTACCGCCATGAGAACGTCAGGTACGCCGGCCCAGGGTGCGGGCTCTGATGACAGAGCAGGCCGTGGAGGCTGCGTCTTTGCAGGACCCACTAGGCGCTGTGGGCTTCGAGAGGTTTTCCAGGGACTAGAAGCGAGGCTCCCCACGGCACTCATCAACCCGGCGGGAGAAGCTGCCGGCAGGTGTTTAAGCTGCAGTGTGTTCTAGGCTGCCTGGTCCAACCCCATCATAGAACAGACATCACCCAGAATGGGGAAGGGACTCCTGTGAGGTCACCCAGCTGTTCGGGGCCAGCACTGGGGCTAGAGCCCTGACCTCTGATTCTAGGAAGAAGGATGAGTTCAGCCCGGGCAGGAGGGGGCAGTGTGGGGTGGTCCCCAGGCACCACAGGGAGGGATGCCTGCAGGGGGAGGTCCACTAGGACAAGTGCAAGGTCAGAGCCCTGACTTTACCTGGAAGGGCAGGGTCTCACTGCCCTGGAGGGGGTGAGGGAGGACCTTCTCCCACCCTGATCCTGGCCGCCCTGCGGGTTGGAGAGGGAGCGGGCACACCTCGCTGCCTGGAGCCTCACCTCCACGGTTCGTTCCTCATGCAGCATCCTCTTTGCCGACATCGTGGGCTTTACCCAGCTGTCTTCTGCCTGCAGTGCCCAGGAGCTCGTGAAGCTGCTCAACGAGCTCTTTGCCCGCTTTGACAAGCTGGCAGCTGTAAGTCCCTGGTCCCGCCTGGCTCTCCGGCGGGGCCTGCCCTCATGGCCTGTGCCTGGCCACCATCCCCGGCCCCATGATTTTCTCCCTCTGTCCTTCCTCTGCTTTCTCGGCCACTCCTCCCGCACTGATGAGGGGCTGGAGCATAGGCCAGGCCCTCCCCTTTCAGAAATACCACCAGCTGCGGATTAAGATCCTGGGCGACTGCTACTACTGCATCTGCGGCCTGCCTGACTACCGGGAGGACCACGCCGTCTGCTCCATCCTCATGGGGCTCGCCATGGTGGAGGCCATCTCGTAAGTGGGGTGCCTCTGGGAGGGAGGCTCCCAGAGCAAGGGCCCCAACCCTGGACCCAGGGAGAAGCAGGTCTTCTGCGCTGGCCACAGCCCCTGGGTAGGGGATCAGCTGGAGGCAAAGACTGTGCCCTGCTGGGACACGGCGCTGGTTGATGGGTGGCACAGGCCCCCGCTCTGGAAGCTGGGACGTGGCTTACCTTCCTCACAGCCCAGGGGAACTGTAAGCCTCCCCCAGCCTGTGGGGCCCGCTTTTCCAGCCTTAGTCCACGTATTCCCTTTTTGCTGGAAGTTGCAGTTGTGAAATTCCTCACGCTTCCTCACACTTGCTAGGACCCCCACAGGTGCTCCCCATCTCTCCTCAGTGTTTTCTCACCATGACCCCCGAAGGCACTGCCCTCTCCGTCTTGTGATGCAGTGACTGTAAGCCCCTGGCAGAGGGGCTCAGGGCTGGGGCTGGAGCCCACCCCGGCCTCTGTGCTGCAGCCCAGGCTGTGAGGGAGGCAGACTCTCCCGCGCTCACTGTCCCCCCTCTTGTCCCTGCTCCAAGTGCGCTTGCAGCTCTCGGATGGGCAGTCCCTCTGGTTGACTTCCAGCCTCTGGGGAACCCGGGGTGACATCAGGCACCAACGTGGAAAGGGAAGCTCCTGCCGAGGCCCCTCCCCCATGGGATGGAGTCCTGGAAGTTGCCCGCCCTTTACCCTCTTCTCCGAGGGGGCAGCTTTGCATTTTTACCGTCTTCCAGGTTAAATCCCATCTAGTATTGCCCTGGAAAGAAAGCAATGTTGGCCGGGTGCAGGGGCTCACGCCTGTAATCCCAGCACTTTGGGAGGCCAAGGCAGGCGGATCACCTGAGGTCTGGAGTTCGAGACCAGTCATGACCAACATGGAGAAACCCCGTCTCTACTAAAAATACAAAATTAGCCGGGTGTGGTGGCACGTGCCTGTAGTCCCATCTACTCTGGAGGCTGAGGCAGAATGGCTTTAACCCAGGAGGCAGAGGTGGCTGTAAGCCGAGATCGTGCCATTGCACTCTAGCCTGGGCAACAAGAGTGAAACTCCGTCTCAAAAAAAAAAAAAAAAGAAAAAGCCAATATGGCCTTTATCCCAGGGGCGGTAGTCCAGGAACTCTAGCATCCTCTCCCTGCCCTGTCAGACACGTTCAGGCAAGGGACTGCTCACCGCTATTTTGTTCACCTCTATGTCTGCAGCACCTCGAACGTGCCTGGCACATACTTGACGCTCAGTGAAATATTAACTGCATGAATGAATAAGAGTAATTGGCAGAAAGAAACTGGAGGCCCCTCGGGAAGTGGGGATAGGAAGGAGGGTCGCTTGGTGCCTTCGTCCTGCTGGCCTGTGAAGCCTGACTCTGGGCTGGCCCTGGCCTGCCTTACCCCCCACCCAACACCATGGGTTACTGGACTTCAGTGCAGGCGGAAAGCTGTGGGGACCTTGCCAGGCCCCCTCCCGTGGAGGGGAAGAGGCCCACGATGAATTTCTTTTGCAGGCTGGCTGTCTTGCGAAGGCCACGCCCTGACCCTCCTTTCTGTGTGTCCGTGGCAGGTATGTGCGGGAGAAGACCAAGACTGGGGTGGACATGCGTGTGGGGGTGCACACGGGCACCGTGCTGGGGGGCGTCCTGGGCCAGAAGCGCTGGCAGTACGATGTGTGGTCAACTGACGTCACTGTAGCCAACAAGATGGAGGCCGGCGGCATCCCTGGGTGAGTGCCCTTCCGCGGGGGCAGGTGTGAGGACTGGGGCGGGGACTGGACCGTCCCCTCCATACCACAGGGCTGTGACCGTGATGAGGGACAGGGGGCCTCCGAGAAGGTCCCCCCACCGCCCCGGAACAGCATTCCTCCTGTCCTGCGCCAGCCCTGGCTAAGGCCGTTCTCACCTGCCTTGGGGTAAAGCCTCTTTGGGCCTGATGTTAGATGTGGCTTCTCCTGCCTGGACCCTGCAGTAGCCTGTCCTCCTTTACCCTTTACCCACTTAGGGGGCTGCCCCAGCTCTCCTTATGCCAGCGCCCAGGTCTCCCCAAAGGGAGAGTAATGAGCAGTCGTCAGTGGCGGGCTCGGAGGCAGTGTTTTGCAGGTCGCAGTGCGATTACGTGTCTTACTCGAGCTCCTTTACAGGATCAGTGAGTAATGGAGGCCCTGCCTTTAGCAGGGTGAGGCTGAGGGAGGATCAGCTCAGCCTTCCCCACCTGGGCTGGGCAGCTTCCTTCAGTGGCATTTAGGATTCTTGCCCTCAGTGGTAACTCCTCAGAAACAGGTTTTATTTTCCCTTGGCACCTGGGGTTGCAACTGAGAAATGTGCAAGGTGGGGGATAATTGGATCTTGTGGCTCACACTTGTAATCCCAGCCCTTTGGGAGGCTGAGGCGGGTGGATCACCTGAGGTCAAGAGTTTGAGACCAGCCTGACCAACATGAAGAAACCCCATCTCTACTAAAAATACAGAATTAGCCAGGTGTGATGGTGTGCACCTATAATCCCAGCTACTCTGGAGGCTGAGGCAGGAGAATTGCTTAGAACCTGGAAGGCGGAGGTTGCAGTGAGCTGAGATTGTGCCACTGTACTCCATCCTGGGAAACAGGGCAAGACTGTCTCAAAAAAAAAAAAAAATCCTTATCACATTTGATCCGCTTCACAGTGGATCAAAGATTGAAGAAAGATTGTACTCCTGTGTCGTGGTTCCAACACTGAGGCTGAGATGGGAGTAGGCGCCACACGGCCCACACAACTAGTTGGGCCACACAGCTAGTTAGTGGCAGATATTCCACTTGGCACCTGCCTCCACTTGGCCTCTGCCCCACATGCCCGAGAGACACGGGGCCGAGCAGCAGCCAGTGCATCTGTGGTCCGTGGACTGTCCCCGGGGGTTGTGAGGGCCACCTCTGGCCGGTGCTCAGGGCCTCTCTCTCTCTGCAATCCAGGCGTGTGCACATCTCCCAGAGCACCATGGACTGCCTGAAAGGGGAGTTCGATGTGGAACCAGGCGATGGGGGCAGCCGCTGTGATTACCTAGAAGAGAAGGGTATTGAAACCTACCTCATCATTGCCTCCAAGCCAGAGGTGAAGAAAACAGCCACCCAGAATGGCCTCAATGGCTCGGTGAGTTCCCCACCCCACCCCACCCCCAGATGAGGGGGTTGGAGAGGAGGAGATTAAGGAAAGATGGCAGAAGAGTTACAGGACCCAGTGGTGGCTGGCTATGAGAGGTGAGTGGCAGGCTGGCACCCTTCCTGAGGGATAGCTGGTTTCTGGGGGGAGACGGTGAGTGTAATTCATGGCAAGTTGCAATGGAGGTGACTGTAGCATATCCCAAGACCACATCCAAAAGGGAGGCACTGGAGGTGTGTTGGTGGCGCCCAGGAGAGCAGCTGGGCTGGAGCTCAGAGTCTCCTGCACGGAGGAAGTGAGTGAAGCCACCGGAGTGACACGGATGCTCAGGGAGAGACTCACAGACGAGGCTGGGAGTGGGGTGACTGGTCATGGGGAAGGAGGACCAAGGCCAGGAAGGTTTCCTGAGTGGGAAATGAGGAAGGAATGAGATAGAAGTCATAGAGCAGGAGTGTCCCATCTTTTGGCTTCTCTGGGCCACATTGGAAGAAGAATTGTCTTGGGCCAAACATCAAATACTGCGGTTGAACAAGCTCGCAGCAGAGCATCCTATGGGCCTGCCCTCTGGTCTGGTCTTCGTGTGGGGCCCCCCGAATATCTACAGACCTGAAGCAGTCAGCAGCTTCCCCAGGCCTGTCCACCAACCCCCAAACACCTCCTGTCAGTCTGATTAGAAACCAACAGCAGCTGTTGCAGAAATTGATCCCTTTACCATCCCCTACTGAATCTGAAGGTGGTTTTATTGTTTGTAATCTCTCATGTCAAAACCCTTTCCTCCAGTATGGGAGTCCCTCTAACAAGACTTGGAATTAAGGAGCGTGGTGGCTGTCAGGGAAATCGTGTCATCTGAGACTGCTCCGTGGCTGAGGCTTTGCCTAATTGTGGCTAAAGCAAAGCCCACTCTGGGGAGGCTGCAGGAGTGACGGCTGATAGACTCCCTGTTCATTCTAGCCTCAATGTCGGTCTCATCCAGTGTCATTTTAAAGGCCTTCTCTGACAACTCCCAAATTTGTATCTCCAGCCCCAGTGGCTTTCCTGCACTCAACATACAGCCACTTGTATGCCTCCATTTGTACATATAATAGGCATCTTAAATGCCACCTGTCCAAAGCTCCTGCCCGCCTTCCCACTCCAAAACCTGCTCTCTCTCGGTCTTCCCATCTCAGTTAATGGCAGTTCCATCCTTTTATTAATAATTGCTCAGATCAGGCTGGGCGCGGTGGCTCAAGCCTGTAATCCCAGCACTTTGGGAGGCCGAGGCAGGCGGATCACGAGGTCAGGAGATCGAGACCATCCTGGCTAACATGGTGAAACCCCGTCTCTACTAAAAATACAAAAAACTAGCCGGGCGAGGTGGTGGGCGCCTGTAGTCCCAGCTACTTGGGAGGGCTGAGGCAGGAGAATGGCGTAAACCCAGGAGGCGGAGCTTGCAGTGAGCCGAGATCGCGCCACTGCACTCCAGCCTGGGTGACAGAGCAAGACTCCGTCTCAAAAAAAAAAAAAAAATGCTCAGACCAAAAAGTTTGAAGTCATCCTTGACGCCTCACTTTGCAATCCACAAGCAAGTTCCATGGCCTCCGATTGCTCTAATCCCACCACTGCCTCCCACACGCTTGTCACTTCCAGACCTGTCTGTGCCACTTATCCCACGCCTGGATCATGGCTGAGCTCTCCTTTCCTCTAGGCCCTGCCCAATGGAGCACCAGCTTCCTCAAAGTCCAGCTCCCCTGCCCTCATTGAGACCAAGGAGCCCAACGGGAGTGCCCACAGCAGCGGGTCCACATCAGAGAAACCCGAGGAGCAGGATGCCCAGGTATGTGCAGGGCTCAGGGCAGGGGGTCACTGAGGGGCCAGATGCGGGCAGACACCAGGAAGCAATACATTCCTGCAGCAGGAGTCCTATGCTGGGGAGACCTGGCCACCACCCAGGACCTCCTCCTGCTTAGCATTGTAACCATGGGCAGGTCACCCCTCCAGCCCCACGAAACCCTACTGTCTCCTCATCAGTTACATGTTGGGGTGACCTGGAATCCTGTAGATTTGAGATCAGTGAGGACCTCCATGGAAAATTCTGTAGGGTCTGAGACAATTTTGGAAGTGAGATTTCAGACCTGGACTCACCTCTCTGGCTAGGTTCAAACCCAACAAGTTCCATGCAAGATGGGATATTTCCGCAGTCCCAAAGGCGAGGAAAATTAGCATGCTGTCCCAGAGTGCGGGGTGCCTCTTGGGGAGCACCCAGAACTGGTCCCTGACTGCAGGGCGTCTGGAATATGTTTCCTGATGGAGGTCAGTGCTGCAGAGATGGGGTGTCTGCCCTGCCGGGGCTGCCAGGCTCACCGTGTGAGGGGGACAGGAGAGCTGGCCCTGGTGCCATTAGAGCAGATGCTGTAGAACAAGATGGTAGACGGGGCTTAGGGTAAATTAGGGTTTTCTCAAGTCCCCCAACATTCAGCAACTTTTCCTTATTGCAGTTTTCTTGAGAGAAAGTGGAGGTACAGACTCAAGGCACTCACTAGCAAGGAGGACACAGATACAGCTTTAGCAGCCTGTGATTTTTCGAGCCCTGAGCCTTAGCCAGGCCCACGCTGCTCCCAGATCTGCTTCAGGAACAGGTTCCTGCTGCTGCCACAGACCATCCATGTGATTTTACAGAAGAGGAAGATGTGGCTGGGGAAACATTATCTGGGGTCAAACTGTCAACCAGTGGCACACCTGTGCCGATGCTTAAGACCAGGGAGTCTTTTTTTTTTTTTTTAGATGGAATCTCGCTCTGTCACCCAGGCTGGAGTGTAGTGGCGCGATCTTGGCTCACTGCAACCTCCGCCTCCTGGGTTCAAGTGATTCTCCTGCCTCACTCAGCCTCCCAAGTAGCTGGGATTACAGGTGTGCACCACCATGCCTGGCTGATTTTTGTATTTTTAGTAAAGACAGGGTTTTACTGTGTTGGCCAGTCTGGTCTCAAACTCCTGACCTCAAGTGATCCACCCACCTCAGCCTCCCGGAGTGCTGGGATGATAGGCGTGAGTCACCACGCCCGGCCCCAGGGAGTCTTGACTGTGGCTCCCAGATGCACTGTTGAACCCGTTCAGACAGCTCTCAGCTATTGAGCGTGCCAGTCTCAGTGATTGTTTAGACTGATGGCTGTGTCATCACAGCCAGGATTCCTGTTTTTGGAGTTGATACTTCTTCCTTGGAACTGGGAATAAAATGGTAATGGGTGCCCCAGCTCCACCTACCCGCCCCTTATCAGCCCTCTAGTGATGAGAACATTCTTTTCTCTCCCATCGCTTCCCCCTCAGATCTTCCTTTGCAAATGAACCAGATGGGAGTTCCTTTAATAGTTCCCTGAAGCCCTAGAGCTGGGAGCCATTCATGTCCCCAGGGTGCCGATGTATATGGCCCCCACATCTACACAGCAGGAAGTGCCAGGACTGTCCCAACCCGCAGCTGTCTCGATTACAAGTCTCCTACTCGGGAGCCAGGGGCTCCCTACAATGCTGTCATTCGACACCCTCCCTGCAGAGCTCTGGTGGGGCCCAGGGAGCCAGGAAGGCCTGGAGCGTTGGGTGTAGACCCAGGCCACATGGAGCCACTTGGGAGCATGGGGAGGACTTCCCGGAAAGGGATTGTGGAGCTGGAGGGATTGGTCCTCCGTGTATGCCCTCTTTTGTTCCTTTCCTCCTCCACCTCCGTCTTTCTCAGCTCCTTCCCGCCACTCTGTCCCATCTGCCCCACCTGCCCCACTCACGCTGCCTCCCTGGCTCACAGGCCGACAACCCCTCATTCCCCAACCCGCGCCGGAGGCTGCGCCTTCAGGACCTGGCTGACCGAGTGGTGGACGCCTCCGAAGACGAGCACGAGCTCAACCAGCTGCTCAACGAGGCCCTGCTGGAGCGAGAGTCTGCCCAAGTGTAAGCGCCACCCGGAGGCGTCCAGGCCCCACCGCTCCTCCCGGGCCCTGACAAGGGATTCAGGAAACCGGGCATCCCAAATACGGCCCCCCTGCTAGGCTGAGGCAGGTGTGGCATTTGGGATTCATGGGGCTTGTTCCCACTGCAGAGTAAAGAAGAGAAACACCTTCTTCCTGTCCATGCGGTTCATGGACCCCGAGATGGAAACGCGCTACTCGGTGGAGAAGGAGAAGCAGAGTGGGGCTGCCTTCAGCTGCTCCTGCGTCGTCCTGCTCTGCACGGCTCTGGTCGAGATACTCATCGACCCCTGGTGAGGGAGGGCAGGGCCACAAGTTTCCTCGGCTGCGGCGGTGCCGGGAGGCAGGCGTCTCAGCGGGAGCCTCACACTGGGGAGCAAGCCTTGTCTCTGCTCCCTGACCCACACTGGGATGGCCCCACGGGCTCCAAGAGTGCTAGATGGCACCCTGGGCTTCCTTCCTTTATGTCGCCCCAGGTTTTGGAGCAGTCCTAGCGTCAGAATGGGGATCTGGCCAGGATCGAGAGAGCTGAGGAACAGAGGCCTCCAGAAGGCTGGAGACCTTGGCTGGATGGGCCCACAGTGATTCTTGGGACAAAGATGGGGACACTGCATCAGCCTCAGTCACCAAGGCTGACCTGGCCCCTTTCTTGGCTCATCTTGATATAGATTTTAGGCTCTGGGCACAGACTGACCCCTCTCTAACACAGCAGCAGGCCCTCCAGGGCAAGGTGGGCCTCCTGGAGTCCCCAGCCGGTGAAGCCCTGTCTGAGGGTGATGACCACTCTCGTTCTCCCTTTCTCCCCTCGGCCAATCGGGGATTCCCCGTCACAGAGGATTACTCCTGACAAACTGTAATCCTGCTGGGAGCCTTGGGCTCAGTCACATCATCTAAGATTGTGGGTGTGTGACCATGTGCAGGTCACTGCAGGCTCCGGCACCATCTGTTTCCTCATCTGTGAAATGAGGAGAACAACCCCTGCCCCAGCTGACACTCAGGACTGTGGTGAGGCTCAAATTCACTGATTCCATGAGTATCGATTGGTTGTCTGCTTCGTGTCTGGCGATCAGGGGCTGGCTGGGGCCATGGCAGTGATGCGGCATACAGAAACCCCTGCTCTCATGGGACCTGGGTTCTGGCAGGGGAAGCTATAGGCATAAGCAATTAAACAAGTAAAATATGCATCCATGCAGGAGTAAGTACTGCAGATCCAGGGCGGGCAAGGAAGGAAGTGGGTATGCTGCCCGGGGGCTTTGCTTTGTTTGCATTTTGATGTGGGATGATCAGAGCAGGCCTTGCTGGCAGAGTAATATTTCAGTAATGCCCGGAAGCAGGTGAGGGGTGAGGCTTCTGCTATTTGGGGGACACCTGCTTCGGATAGAGGTGCTGAGGCTGGAGTGGCCTGGTCCCTGGAGGCACGGTGAGGAGGCATTGCAGCGGGAACAGGGGCCACTGGAAGGAGTAGCAGGAGTCCAGCTCAGAGACGTGGGGCCTCAGACGCCACCGCAGGGCGCCAGATTCCACTCTTAACACAGGAGGCTGCTGGAACAAGGGAGCAAAGGAGTCCCTCGTTGTGACATATGCCTGGAGAGGCTCACTTCTGCTGAGAACAGCGCTTAGTGAGCACAGCGGGAGCAGTGAGACCAGAGGAGACCAGATAGTGACCCAGACAAGCTACTGTGGCAACCAGGCCAGGCCGAGGAGAGAGGAGGATCAGTGGTTGGATTCTGAATTTTCTGGATTGACGAATGGATGCTCAATGTATTTTGGAGACAGAACTGACAGGATTTGCTGGCAGATTGGTTGTGGGGCATGAGTGTGGAGTTAAGGACGTCTCCTGGGCTTCTGATCTGAGCAACTGGCAGGACGGGGGTGCCAAGATGGGGACGAGGTGGCAAGATGAAAGTGCAGACGCAGAGATCAGGAGTTCGGTTTGGGATGCGTGAAGTTTTTAATGCCCACAAGCCAAGGAGGCCAGAGTCCATGATCTGGAGTTGAGAGGGCGGGTGGGGTTGGAGACGTGAACCTGGCGTCGCCCGCATGCAGGCTGTGCGGTAACACGAGACTCGCTGAGCTCAAGGCAGCGTGTCCAGATACAGGGACGGAAACGTACCAGCAGGGACTCAAGAAACCAAGTGAGAAAAGTGTCTCAAGGAGGGGCGAGAGGTGACTGAAAATGGGACGTGGATTTAGCTACCAGGAGGCTTCTGGGGCTCTTGGCAAGGGCACCTTCCAGGGAGGGTTTAAATGGGGATGGGTGTGAGCAGAGGGTATGGAAGGCAGGTTTCCCGGAGTCATCGGGTTAAGGTGGATGTGTTAAGAGTGTGTCCACGGTGAAGCTGGGGGTGGCTGCCATAGGCGGACTCAGCAGCCCCCGGCAGCGAGGGAGCAATGCTGCTCCGTGCTCTGTCCCTTTAGCACAGTGACATGGCCGGGGCGCATTCCTAAGATCCCTGCCCAAGTTTATCCTGGGCTGTGCCCAGGCCACCTGTGAGTCGTTCCCTCTCTGGGAAATGTCCCAGGCAGCAGCTGCAGCTGGAGAGTGGCCGCTCCCAGGCCGGCACTCAGCTGGCAGCCCCTCTCATCAGGGCCTTTGTCCTGTTCTACACGGCAGGCAGCAGCAATTCCCTGGCACCGCGTGGAGCTGTACAGGCACAGGCATGGGCTCGTGCTGTGCCGAGAGGCCTTCCCATCCCCTGCCCCCTGCCCCCGCCCCCTGTCCCTTGTCCCCCGTCCCCTGCCTCCTAGCCCCTCACCCCATCTCACTGTCCCCTCTGGCCCCTCCCAATTGTCTTCTCTCTGTCACAGGCTAATGACAAACTATGTGACCTTCGTGGTGGGGGAGCTTCTGCTCCTCATCCTGACCATCTGCTCCCTGGCTGCCATCTTTCCCAGGGTAAGAGGCACTTTTCTGCTGAGCTTGGAAGCGTCTGGAAGTGAGTGGCACTCCCTGTAAAACTGGGTGGTGATGGAGTTATTCTTTCTGTCAAATCCTGACAGACAGACACTCTTCTGTTAGGACGGTCCAGGCACTTGCCCATCCATTCATTCACCATCAGCAGAGCACTCCCTCTGGCTGGGCCACCAGGCCGTGGCAGGCCGGTGCTGGGCCATAGTGGACTGTGGCAGGCCGTGGCTGGCCGATGGTGGGCCTTGGTTGGGCCGTGGCTGGGCTGTGGCAGGCCGTGGCGCTGTGGCACACATGAGTACGGCAGAGTCTGGGTACACAGGAACCTGGGTAGAGAAGTAGTTGGAGGGCCAGCTGGAAGGTGGGTTGGCCCTGACTGTGAAGGCCCTTAGAAGCCAGACTAAAAGGATTAAAACTTTCTCCTGTACGGCACTGGGGTACCAAGCAGAGGTTTTTTTTTTATCAGAATGACAAAGGTAAAGCAGTGTTTAGGAACATGAATCTCACAGGTGGCTCGCCAGGTCACTTGGAGCCAGGACAGGCAGGAGTAGCTGACCAGAGACGAGCAGCCCTGAAAACTGTTCTCTGCCCTGGCCTCACCTCGTCGGCGCATGTGCTGTGGAGAGGGCTGCGAGCTGGAAGCTGTGCTGTTGCACAGGCACCTGGAGGAGGTCCGACGCAGCGCCAGAACTCCCACGCCCTCTTCTCAGCTCTGCCCCTTTGTCAGCTGTCGGGCGACTCCCAGGCAGAGCCCCTTTTGAGGCTCCTGGAACTGGAATATGGGAGCAGCCTGAGTTGCTGGCAGTCACGTCTGCAGGAGAAAGGGCTGGCAAAGGCTCATGGCCCTTGAAATTCCTTTCCTTCTAGGCCTTTCCTAAGAAGCTTGTGGCCTTCTCGACTTGGATTGACCGGACCCGCTGGGCCAGGAACACCTGGGCCATGCTTGCCATCTTCATCCTGGTGATGGCAAATGTCGTGGACATGGTGAGCTCCTGCTGTCCTTGTTGAAGGGACGCCCCTATTCTCAGTGGAGAAGGGCTCCTGTTTGGGTCACACGAGCAGTTTCTCAATCCGTCCCTCCACCGTCATGTAGCTTTGGAGTGGCTCTTAGGTTCCCAAACACATCATCCCTGCCTAGTGGAAGGAGTCTTGTCCCTGTCATCCAGGGATCCTCTGGGATGCACTTGTTTCCTTGAAACTCCTCTCCCAGAGTCCAAGAGCCCAGTTCCATGTGCCCAGGCCTGTGTGTGCTAGGTGCCTTATGTATGTTGATTCATTTAATCTGTGAGAAAGTCCTGAGCGGTTGTACTAGTATCTGCAGTTTCATATGGAGAAACAAACGCTCAAAAAGAGTAATCAGCTGGGCACGGTGACTCACACCTGTAATCCCAGCACTTTGGGAGAATTAATAATAATTCCCTTGCTCTAGGTCACACAGCCAGGAAGTGACAGAATCCAGAATGGAGGCAGTTCTAAGTCCTGGTCCTGTGTGTTCTTCCTCCCTGAGGGGGCAGCCAAATGCTTTCTTGAGGAGAAGGGACAGGAGTTGGGAGCCCAGATCTATTGGTTTAGAACCACTGGGCACATATTGAGCACTACATGCCTGGAGCTGTCATCGATGTTCTCTTGTCAGTTGTCACGGCCTCCTCTAATTGTCGAAGTACCATATACACTGTCTTCCTTTTTTTCTAATTTAATGTTATTGTTGCATTTTAACAATTGGAGCACAGGAATACAACCAGCATGGAGACTTATTCTGGCAGTGGTATAAGTGAAAAAGCTCCAGGGCTGCAGCTAATCAGAAGTCCAATGGGGGCCGGGCGCGGTGGCTCATGCGTGTAATTCCAGCACTTTGGGAGGCTGAGGTGGGCGGATCACTTGAGGTCAGGAGTTCGAGACCAGCCTGGCCAACATGGTGAAACCCCATCTCTACTAAAAATACAAGAATTAGCCAGACACAGTGGCACGCACCCGTAATTCCAGTTACTTGGGCAGCTGAGGCAGGAGAATCGCTTGAACCTGGGAGGTGGAGGTTGCAGTGAGCCAAGAACGCACCACTGCACTCTGGCCTGGGCGACAGAGCGAGACTCCATCTCAAAAAAAAAAAAAGTCCAATTGGAATGAGGAGTTAGGGGCTCCAGAGCCTACCTTGGCCAGGGGTTGCTGGTGCCCACTACCCAGGGAAGGGAAGCCCCAGGCCCCCTGCATGTCACAATACGCCTGGAACCTGGCACCCAGGTGTGGGGGTCACCACTGCACAGGGTCCTGGACACTGTACAGGACACCTGGAGATGCTGTCACTCATGGAGGAGTAAAAGCTTAGGGAGGTGCAACAACTGCTCATGCTAGAATATAGATATGCCAGGAATCGCGCAAGCAAGACAAGCCCCCGTGGGTGAAAGTTACAAAAACGTTGGGTTGATTCTGATTGTGGATACACTTTCTCCCGGCCGCATCACCCAGTAGCAGAACCAGTGAAGACTCCAGAAGGCAGAGTGTCCCCCCAGTGGAAGGGTTTGGGCAGAGACTAGCTGTCATCACGGGGAGGCTGTGAGTGGAGCTCATGGCCCCGTGGTGCCTCCTGAAGCAACAGTGTGATGTGGGGAAGAACATGTTGGATTTGAAGCCTAAAGACTTGGCTCCTACTTCTGGCTTTTCTGCTTGCTAATTGTGTTTGGGCAAATCTGGCCTGAGTTTTCTGTACAACAGGCACAGTACTAAAAATACTCCAGAGTTTTTGTGAATGTCAAATGAGGCAACAGCAAGGCTCTTAGCTGCAGTTACTAACTTTCGTATGATTCGTCCCTGGTAAATTTCCCCATCTTTCCCGGTGTTTCTGGGGGAGCCCTGGGAGGTGGCAGCTGAGCGCACACTGCCATGCACAGCTCTCTGTGACCAGCACATGCTGTTCTCTTGAACGTGTGTCTCCTCCTGCCATCCTGGCCTCCAGCTCAGCTGTCTCCAGTACTACACAGGACCCAGCAACGCGACAGCAGGGATGGAGACGAAGGGCGGCTGCCTGGAGAACCCCAAGTATTACAACTACGTGGCCGTGCTGTCTCTCATCGCCACCATCATGCTGGTGCAGGTCAGCCACATGGTGAAGCTCACGCTTATGCTGCTCGTCGCGGGCGCCGTGGCCGCCATCAACCTCTACGCCTGGGGCCCCGTCTTCGATGAATACGACCACCGGCGTTTTCGGGAGCATGAGTAAGATGAAGCGCGACTGGGGATCTGTATTGTCTCCTTCCTCCCACCCGCGAAGGCAAAGTCCTCAGTTGAGCTCATGGGCCTGTGCTGAGGTGGCTTTCTGCCACTAGGGGTCCTCAGAGGCTTGTTCAAGAGCCAGAGTTCCTGGCCGCTCACAGACGCATCACTGGTTGGCTAGGACCTGGGAATAGATTCTTCCCATTGTCCCCGAGTGGAGGACTTGGGATACCCCGGTGTCTGGCTGGGCATCAGGCTCTTGTTCCCAGATGCGGCCTGACTGTGCTGTTATCTGTCCAGCAGCTTACCTATGGTGACCTTAGAGAAGATGCAGGGATTCACCCCTGGGCTCAACGGCACTGACGGGTAAGGGCCACGGCTTCCCTTCCTGGCCTGCACTCACAGTCCCTCTTCTAGAGACAGGAATACAACAGGCCCAAGCCCTGTGATCTCACCCTCCAGGAGGCACGTGACCTAGCACATGCAGGTTAGAGGAGCTGGCATGGGTTCCTCCAGGAGGGCGGCAGCAGAGGCAGGATGATTCTGATAGGGACCTGGACATCCAGGCCTCTGCGTGAAGGGCAGTGAGGCTTGGAGGGCAGCAGCAGTGCAGTGAGGAGGGAAGGAACTGCCAGGTGGATGGCAGCTGCATGTAACTGGCTGACAGGACAGACAAGCAGCAGGAAAATGAGGAGAGAGGAACACGCTTTGGATTTAGACCTGGCTTCTGAGCCTGCAGCAGGCAGTAATTCTCTGTGGGTCACAGGCAGGTCAGTTTCCATGAGTGGCAGTTTCATCTCTTGAGGAGGATACTGAAGCAGAAGTTCTCTAAGGTCGTGGCCAGTGCCAAGGTTTTAAAATTTTATGACTCAGTGACTTGAATGAGACCTTCAAGAAAGTTTAGAAATAAAAAGATGACCTAATAGAAGAGGGGTAAGACCTGCATAGCCCTTCACAAAAGAAGAACTCTAAATGGCCACTAATAAATGGCACTCAAGTAATCAAGGAAATGCCAGTCACACCCTAATGAAATACCATCACACACGTACTGGTCCAGATAAGTCTGACAATATCAAGTACAGCAGTAACTCTTACACTCCTGATGGGAGTATGAGTTAGTACAGGCACGTTAGAAAATATTTTGATCTATTTAGTAAGGCTGAAAATAAACCTGTGTTCCAGCAATTCCACTCCTACATACACGCCCATGCAGACGTGTGTATATGTGTGTATATATATGTATCTTAGAGAAATTTATGCACATACTCATGTCCCAGGATATATGTATGAGAATATCCAAGGTGGCACTGTTCGTAATAGACATACCCCCTCCCTCAAAACAAATGAAAACAACCCAAATGACATCAACAGGAAATGGATACATAACTGGTATATTCATGTAGTGAAATACCATACAGTAATGGAAACTAACCACAGCTCCACATAAAAATATGGACGAATGACATAAAAAGCCATGGTGAGATTGTACCCCAGTCCCGTGGCTATGAAATCCCATCACTGATGTCTCTTCTGCAAATTCCTGCATGGTCGTAGCTACCTCTGTGATCAGTCAGGCAATGCAGTGTTTCTTAAACACCTGGGGAGCAGCCCTGATGTAAATACCAGGTGTAGCCAGGAGGGGCCAGGGGCTGCCCGGCTGTTGGAGAGGAGGCCAGTGAGTTAAGAAAGCTTTACTGCCCAGGGGGAGCCCGACTTGATGTGAAAGGGCCTAAGGAGCTGGGGTGAGCTCTGGGGCTGGGGTGGCAAGAAGCAGCACCGTCTAGTCGGAGGGAATCGGGCCCCCTCCGGGAGGCCCTTTCAGTTGCACGCGCTCTGCCCAGCAGGCTGCCCCTGGTGCCTTCCAAGTACTCCATGACGGTGATGGTGTTCCTCATGATGCTGAGCTTCTACTACTTCTCCCGCCACGTGAGTGCCGCCTGCACGATCCCCGCTCTGTGCCCACAACCCACAGGGCCTCCTGAGAAGCAGCCCTGGGACCTAAGAGCCCAAGCTCCTAAGGACTGAGGCTTCCCTTTACCCAGCCCCACACATGAGCCTGGTCAGGCCACCGCCTTTTCTATATTCAGGCTCCTTCCTCAGTCACACAGGAAGACAGTGCCTCACCTCTTCCATCCGACCCCCTCCAGGATGGTGAAGGAAGCATGGGAGTGAGGGCGGGAGGGGACAGAGCGAAGGCACAAACATCTTGAATCAAATCTCTATCCCCTAGGCCAGGGGCTCATGGCCCCTGCACTCCCCATGGCGCTGAGGGACATTAGCACAACTGACCACGGAGCCGGAAGAGAAAGGGAAGGGAGCTGATGGACTTTCTGTTGGGTTAAAAGGAAAAGAGAAGGCCGGGTGCAGTGGCTTATTTTGGGAGGCTGAGGTGGAGGATCAGTTGATTCCAGGAGTCTGAGACCAGCCTGGGCAACATGGTGAAACCCTGTCTCTACTAAAAAATACAAAAATTAGCCAGGCATGGTGGCCCATGCCTGTAATCCCAGCTACTTGGGGGGTTGAGGCAGGAGGATTGCTTGAATCTGGGAGGTTGAGGCTGCAGTAAGCTGAGATCACACCACTGCACTCCAGCCTGGGTGACAAGTGACCGCCCCCCTCCACCAACCCCACAACAGAGGAAAAGGGAGGAAAGAGGGAGGAGAAAGAACCTCTGTACTTCCGGCTCAGTGTTAGCTCAAGTGCCCCCTAGTGACTTTCCAGGGAAGTACAGCCTTCCCAAGCCACTTCTCATCCAAATAGCACCTGCTTAGAAAGGGGACTCCCCCCTGAGCTGGGAGATCCCCACTGCTGCCACCTCCACGAGACAGACCTGCAGCTGAAATTAGGTCCCAGAAGGCCTCCTGGATATCTGCTGTAACTATGGGGGCTGGAAACTGCACCGCACTATTGGGTGGCCTTTTGATGAGGGGGAATCCTTGCAGGGTCTTACTTCCCTTGCCATTTAGCCATCTTCCCTCCAGCCTTTCCAAGGGGAGCTCCTCTATTCATGTTCCTGTTTTTCTTCTTTTTTTGAGACTGAGTCTCACTCTGTCGCCCAGGCTGGAGTCTAATGGTGCAATCTTGGCTCACTGCAACCTCTGCCCCCTGGGTTCAAATGATTCTTCTGCCTCAGCCTCCCGAGTAGCTGGGATTACAGGTTGCCCACCACCATGCCTGGTGAATTTTTGTATTTTTAGTAGGCACAGGGTTTCACCATATTGACCAGGCTGGTCTTGAACTCCTGACCTCAGGTGATCCACCTGCCTTGGCCTCCCAAAGTGCTGGGATTACAGGCGTGAACCACCATGCCTGGCTGTTCCCGTTTTTCATCCTTCTATCCAGTGGCCAGCTCAGAGCACATGCCTCGCCTTGTCTGTGTCTGTAGGTAGAAAAACTGGCACGGACACTTTTCTTGTGGAAGATTGAGGTCCACGACCAGAAGGAACGTGTCTATGAGATGCGACGCTGGAACGAGGCCTTGGTCACCAACATGTTGCCTGAGCACGTGGCACGCCATTTCCTGGGGTCCAAGAAGAGAGATGAGGTGAGGGGTGTGGCCTCAGCCCGGAACCATGAGGCCATGCATCTCCATCTGTTCTTTGTTTCAGGGAACCCCCCTGGGCCCAGGCCTTCTCAGGGACAGGGGACTGGGGCCAGGTAGGGCTGAACCTAAACAGCAAACACAATATAAGCAAAAGAGTTTCTCCGGCCTCTTGTAAAGGGCACTGCTGTAGGCATGGTGACGTGGGCCATACGGCTCTGAGGCCATGTGTCAGAAGACAAGACTTTTCGCTAGAGCCCACCTTTCTGTTGCCTGTGAACTTCGCCAAAGTGGTTCCCAGCTCCACAGTACCCTCTTCCTCACTGCTGGGGCTGTTAGAGGAACTAGAGAAGCTGTTTTAAAATTTATTCGAAGTAGTGGCCAGGCACAGTGGCTCACGCCTGTAATCCCAGCACTTTGGGAGGCCGAGGTGGGTGGATCACCTGAGGTCAGGAGTTTGAGACCAGCCTGGGCAACATATAGTGAAACCCCCGTCTCTACTAAAAATACAAAAATTAACTGGATGTGGTGGTGCACACCTGTCGTCCCAGCTACTTGGGAAACTGAGACAGGAGAATCACTTGAACCTGGAAGTGGAGGTTGCAGTGAATCGAGATTGTGCCACTCTACTCCAGCCTGGGCGACAGAACAAGACTCTGTCTCTCAAGAAAAAAAAAAAAAAGTAGCAATGAGCTATTTTTAAATTATTCAGAGTTGGGATAATCTACAGCCGGGCATGGTGGCATGTGCCTGTGGTCCCAGATACCTGGTGTTTGAGGCCGCAGTGCGCTTCAATTGTACCTAATCGTGCTTGTTTGTTGCCACTGCACTCCAGGCTGGGAAACATAGCAAGACCCAGACTCTTTTTTTTTTTTTTTTTTTTTTTTTAAAAAAAAGAGGCTGGGATAATCTGACTGATGTGTGAATACAAAAAGCTGAGTACACATGTCGTGTGTGGAAGACAGATGCATTTCTCCAGCACATCATCCAGTCAGTCAGACATGCTTTGAGCACTTTGGCCCTGCCTCTTTTTAGGAGCTGTACAGCCAGACGTATGATGAGATTGGAGTCATGTTTGCCTCCCTGCCCAACTTTGCTGACTTCTACACAGAGGAGAGCATCAACAATGGCGGTATCGAGTGTCTGCGTTTCCTCAATGAAATCATCTCGGATTTTGACTCTGTGAGTCCCCACCCCGCACTCTGGCGATGAAGCCGGCCCACTCTACATCACATCCTAGGATAGGCTGCAGAGGCCAGAGAAACTGGCTCCACCATCCCAGATAAGCCCCTTCCGCAATACACAGACTTCTGCAGCCACCTGGAACTACTGGGCTGGGAAAGGGGAGGGGAGGTGGGAGCCCAGGAACTCACCCACAGGGTCACAGGGTAAGGACTGGCCAAGCAACATCTGGAGACCTCTCTGTCCTGGGACCCTCTCCTCAAATTCAGAGCCGGTCAGCATTGATTGGGTAACCTGTATACCAGGGAGAATGCTTTTCCACACGCGCGCAGCCCGCCTAGGAGACTGGTGATTTTATGTCAGTGTTGAGGTTGTGGAAATTGAGGCCCAGAATGTCAGGAAGTTCTCCCAGGGTCACGTGGCAGATGAGCGGTAGACTAAGTAACAACTTTGATAGGAAAGTGTCTCTTGGGTTTAGTGGGGTCCTTGTAAACAGGTACATCTGTCACTGGGTTGGGTCATTCATCTGCCTTGACTGCTGACAATTCTTTTCTGAATCCTGGCCCCAGCTCCTGGACAATCCCAAGTTCCGGGTGATCACCAAGATCAAAACCATTGGCAGCACGTATATGGCAGCTTCAGGAGTCACCCCTGACGTCAACACTAATGGCTTTGCCAGCTCCAACAAGGTAGCTAACCCCAATAGCCAGAGAGGAGACGAGGCTCTGCCCTTAGGCAAGAGATTGGCAGCCCAGACCTAGCATGCGGGAAACAAGAACTGCTGTGCAAAGGAGTCCCAGACACATACCACCAGTAGCATGTAAATATAAACAGTAGGGTTTATTGAGAAAGTCTGGCAAGCAGAGAAAGAGCACACACACACCACCCCTGCTGTTCACAGCTCAGACCTAAGATGGTTGTGTTCTGTGGCCAGGCCCCCTAAGGCTCTGTGCTTTCATAGGAACTGGAGAGCAATTGTTAACAAGGGAAACTTGGCCGGGCGCGGTGGCTCAAGCCTGTAATCCCAGCACTTTGGGAGGCCGAGACGGGTGGATCACGAGGTCAGGAGATCGAGACCATCCTGGCTAACAC